TGTACTTATTGTTTCATTTCTGTGAAGTTCTGCTAGTGTCTGAGCTTGCATCATATGCCCCCTGGCTGGAGTGTTATTCATTCTTTAGTTCTGTTTGTATTCCTACCCATGCTCCTAAACTACTTATCCTGAATTCATGAGTTGAGTATCTTTGAACCTGTTAAAAAGTACCTCTTTCCCTTACTCCCATATAAAATGTGACGTTGGCTGAAACCCATCATCCATGCAGCTTCTGGAGGCTTCTCTGAGGGTGACATTAAAAAACCCTTTTCGAAGAGGGCCTGAGACTCATCCCTGGTGTTGACAAGGAGTTCAAGGTAATTCATTTATCATTATCTTAGGTAGAGCCCCTGAGCTCTAGCCTCCTTGGCTCTAACTCTCACATTACAGGTTTTGTGGCTCTGGGGGCGGGGGTTTCATTGACCATTTTTGGTCCTAATACTATCTGGCATATGGTAGAGACACAACTCATTGGAATGTGTTGGCTTGTGTTTTGGAAGATACTCTCCTTAAATCTTGCTATAAACATATAGGAGTTCTTCACATAATCACCTGTGTAAGTCCATTACTCATGTGTCAAAGAACATTTTAATTAAACACACACACACACACACACACACACACACACACACACACACACAAGCCTGATTCAGACATCATTTAATGAATATAAACTCCAAAAATAAGAAACAAACCTCATCCCAATTATCTACTTATTCTAGACATAAATCCTTTCTTTTTAAAGCCAAAGATTCTTTCTTGGCTTGTTTCTTATATTATCTTTAAGAAGTAACTGTTTCTTTTTATGCTTTTCACAAAAATGAAGAGACCAAATGGGCTACATCACATCAACAGGCCAACATCATGACACAGGTCAATGAAAAGATGGTCTTTTCTCCTGGAAGTCATTGCAACTGGTCCTATGCTTCTGATATTGTGGCTGCTTCTGTTTCTGCAGAGTTTTCCTCAATGAGACAACCTTTTGAAAGGCCTCTTGTTCTGGGCCTACTATGTGGTAGGAAAGCATATAATGTCGGTGGTGAGAAGTTAAAAATGGAAGGGATGAAATCATAGCTTCCACAACAAATTTCCTTGCAAGAGATATTTTCAAGTGGGCAAGTTATTTGCAGAAGCAAATTTTCCTAAGAAGTTAAATGGAGAAGTTTTAGAAACAATGGCGGTAATATGTACTTTCGTTTTTTTTAAAAAATGCTATCCTTTGCATATGGCTTGTGTGTGTCTAAGGATTCATTCTCTGGGACTGGGTCCTCAGTGTGGTGGTGGTGAGGTAGCAAAACCATAAAGAGACAGAGCCTCGTGCGAAGTAGTTTTGTCAGTGGCGCATTGCGCTTGGAAAAGATAACCTAGTTTTCAGGGGACCCAACTAGTTCCTATAATGGGGAATTGCTCTAAAGAGCAGAACTCCACACTTTCTGGCTTCATATCATCATGTGATCTCTTCCATACGGTGACATCATTTGCTGAGAGGACTCATCAAGAGGACACATCAATGCAGTACCTCATCTTGGACATCTCTGGAACTGTGAGTTAAATAAACATCTTTTCTTCATAAGGTCTCAGCTTCAAGGTTTTTGTTATAGCTATGGAAAATGGACTGATACTCGATCACTCATAACCAGTGAATGAAGTATAAAGGTGACCTTGAGCTTGGCAATAATTTTGATTTTGCTAGTGGTTTTGTAGAATTAAATTACTCCTACTTATAAGAAATTCTGTGGCTTTGTTTTTATTCTTTTCAACAAGCGTCTGAATCTCCCTCTAAATGTTCCTTTAAGAATAACTCGTATATCTGATACTGCAACTACAAATCCTGGAGATGCAAACTTTAAGAAAAAAAATTCTGTAATTTTAAACCAGACTGTTTTTCCTTTATATTTCTTCTAAGAGTGTCTCTGTAGAATTCAGTGTCAAACTATGAAAGTTGAGTTATGGGCAGTTGATTTAGGAGTGTAATACTTACAAAATACACTTTGTGTCAGAGGGTGCACAGATGTGGCCACACAGTATGCGGGGGATGCAACAAAATGACTTGTGAATGTCTCCCTCTTTGACCTGTTTTGACCAAACTTTATTACTCGTTTAATGGAATTGTGACAAAGAGTAGGAATCAAAACACATGGGGATCACAGAGGCTGTTATGTTTATTGTGGAGAACAGACAGTGATAATCCACTAGAGAAATATTTTCAACAAGCAAGCAATTCAAAGTACAATCATAGACAGCAATTCTACATGAAGAACAAAGAATAAAGTTAGAGGACGCTCAAAGAAACAGGGAAAAAGTCAACTGCAATTAACGTCTTGATAGTTTTTCTCCTGCAAACATACCTAACTTGCAGAAATGGTAGAAAAGTTAAATGTCCAGTCTTATATAGCTGTGACCAACAACAGCAAAGAACAGTCCTATAAAATTTATCTCCCACAAAAATAAACTATATATATAAAAATTTTATGATGTTCTCACTGTTCCATTGGCCACGAGCTTTTTTTTTTCAGTATGAAAAATGAGGTATCCTGGGACTTAAGAGGTAGTAGTGTGTTTTGATTGTACAACATACAGAAAATACAAGAGTCACTTCATCAGAGATGGAAATCGCTCGATGCTCAGAGTTTGGCCAACTTGAGCAACTGCTTCAATTTTATGAGCTGGCCAATGAGGTTTCTAAAAGGCCCATTCAGACCATTCTGAGAGAGAGAATGGACTTCCGTTTTTACGAGCCACTGTTTATTTGTTTATTTAATGCGCAGTTAACAGCAATGCTGTGATTTAATTCTCTCTATAGCTCCATGGTGACTGCAGCAGTGAGCGATCTGCCGGTTTCAGGGAGGTGCATGGCCTTCCCAACTACCTCCCTGAAGAGGCTGGAAGAGAGATGGCTTTGAGTTCTGTTAGGCTTCAGTACTAAAAGCTGTACTGACACAAACCGTCATGAGAGACTACCTCCTGGCCCAGTTGATAATACCATGTTAAAAATCAGCACACTCACGAGCAGAGAAAGGCATAAAAACTCTACACAAGAAGCGTTTAAAATAAATCTGATTGAGACATATTACAAAAGTCACATTTGTGTAAAATACATGAAAATATTTGTCAAGCATTTTCTTATAGTCAACTAATCTTAAAAACACATATTTTGATTGCATTATGCAAAAGCTGAGCTTGTGGCATCTCACCTACAAAGCTTCAAGTTTCTTTGAAGGTTGGTTTTATTTTTTATTTATTCATTTTTTTTTGCAAAAGTATGTAAAAACGCATTCCTTTCTATCAAATGTTTTACAAAAATAGTTTTGATTAGGGATAGCTGCAGTTTGAACAACTTCAAACATCAAAAAAAAAATATGAATGAATGCCTGCAAGTAACAAGTTCATTCTTTTTGAAGTCTGGAGGTAGGTTTTTGCAAGTCAATTAGTCCGTTTCCTTAAGCAATTCATTTGAGGTACAGACTTGGAGAGTAACATTTCAACATTACAGTCAAATTCTGTGTGATACATACTGTGATTAAGGAAGATCATCCTTAAGAACCTAGGAGCGACTTGGTTAAAAAAAATATTCAAGTTAATGTAGAGATCTAGCAGAGAAGCTGAACAAGTACTGGTAAAATTTTAATTAAAAAAAAAAACACAGGAAAAGACATAGCCATGCTGAAACACAGTAAGGAGACTGCTTCTTCGTTAACTGTCACAGAGTGTCCAGAAAGAGCTGCAGATGGTGAATCACCTGCCCAGTAAGCTATTTCTTTTCTTGCATTGCTCGTGTATAGCAGCATGTAATAAGTACTCGACTGTAAATTCATTGTAACATTCAGAGGTAGTATTGAGGAGTGAGGACATATTGCATCTCTGGCTAAAAGTGCAGTTTGAATGAAGGGATGGCGAACGGAAGCCAACAATCAAGCACCTCGGTCAACCATCTTATGTCAAAACGTATTACTTGCAGTAATACAGAAGCTTAATTTGAGGTAAGTGGTATTTAGGTCTTTCATGGAAACTGATAACGCAATGAGAAGAGAAAGACTTGCATTTTTTTTTCCTTTTCCATTTTTTCTCTTTTTTTTCTTTTTTACATTTTTAAATGGCTCTCTAACAATTAGCAAAAGCAATTTAGATTTCGCGCGCTCCGCTCACCTCACCGTTCAGGTGAGTTTATCATGCATTAATTCTGTTGTACCTTTCCATCAAGTTGCAAAGAGGATAATTTTACTTGTCTAGGTTCCTTAAATGCTCTGAGGCTAACAAGGGTTATTTATCGCTAAATGCCATTTGGCTCTGTAGGAAGCAGATTTCCTGAAAGCGAAGTGTTGTCCTGGCCACGGGTGCTAAGAGTAATTTATTACTCCTGCTGATCCATGTGGTAGCCATAAATACGGGAGTTGGCAACATGTGTTTGCTTACTTCCTTTTTTGAAAAAAAAAATGAGCATAACTTTTACTGGTTTGTTAGCTGAGTGGAAGGATACATCAGTATTTCGTCTCATTTAGAAATTAAAAAAAAAAAGTTAAAAAAAAATCATCAAGTAAATGTCTACAAGATTATACGAAAAAAGAGAGTAGAATCTAGCCCTTATCTTTGGCGTTCTAAACGGGATTCACTACCGCGAGCGGGTGGGGTGGGCTGGGATGGAGGCGTGCCCGGTGTCACACACCGAGCCCAAGGTCACGGGAGGGACTCGCTTCTTGCTTGTGTGCGGTGTACTGTCTGACAATCCAATTCAGAGCCTTCCTCACCCACCCACTCTTGCTTATGGGATCAACAAACTATTAGTAAGTTAAGGAAAAAAAAAAAAAAAGAAAACAGTAATTAAAAGTTGCATTGTTAAACTGTGTCCCCCTGTGTTTACAGCAGTTTTTCACTAAACCTGGGACTGTGAAGGGATTACAAAGAAGGTGATTAATATAGTCCTTTTGAAGGTTACGTGACTTCTCCCTGCCCCGCCCCCGCCCCGCGCCCGCCCCCCCCACCCCGCCCCAGAGGAAAGTGGAAAGACCATGGCAAAATAGAAGAGTTAAGTGGTCACTGCAGGGTCTTCTCCCTTCGAAAGATCCAACTGCTGCTGAGGTAGAGATCCAACGGCGGCGCCCCCTAGTCTTCTTCGGCGGACTCTTGTGAGGAGGTCTCTTCAGTCTCCTGCAAAAGCACAAAGGGTTTAAGCCTCCGTTCCCAGGGGAGCCTGTGTCGGGCTGCCTTCAGAAGAGGAAGCCTGCCCTGGGCCAGCGCCCCCTCCCTGGGCTGCCCACACCTCCCTGGGCTGCCCACACCTCCCTGGGCTGCCCACACCGCTGTCATTGAGGAATCAAGGTGTTGTTTTTTCCCAGAGCGCTCATTAACCACTGTTGACTTAGCGCTTGCCGGCATGGCGGCTGGTCAGCAAATTCAATTGTCGGCAGCCCAGGGAATGTCAGGCCTGTGTCAGCTGGTATGTCACCAGTTGGAGTTAAAAAAAAAAAAAGAAAGTAACTGATAAAATTATCCGGACAGTAGGCTGGCTATCACTTCAAAAAAAAAAAAAAAACCGGTACACAAGCAAGACAAATACAGTTAGAGGTGGGGATGAGTTGGCGGGGGGGAATGTCTTCTCTTGAGCTCCAAGGAGATCCAGCCACCAGACACTTGTGACGGCAAAGGCTGATTTAATTATGTGCAGTGCTTACTAGATGCTTTTAGTAGGCTCGCCCTCCTATTTTACCGACGAGAATACCAAGGCACGGGCATGCAAGGTGTGGGAAGTCTTGGGGCCAGGATGCGTGAGTGTCCAGTCCCAGCAGTGCCAGACTCCTTGTGTGTCTGCCATGCTCCGTGCAGAGGCGGCCGAGAACAGGCACTGCTGAGAATGCCCTGAGAGCGAGCTTTCTGTCCAGTCTACCTCCTGGGTCTTGTATTTGTTAAACCCCATTTTGAGACAATGACCCAAGCATGGCAGAAGTGCTCTAAGCACTAAATCCATACTGGCCAAACATTTAACGGTGGGCCAGCCAAGCAGAGAAAATCGAATATATATGTTTTTGCAGGGTCTCCTCTTCATATAAACCTTGCTCCTCCTTTTCTTTTCCCTTTTCTGATTCCTTGGGGCTCTGGAATTTGTTGGGGTTTCTGCAAGGCGGCTTGAACTGCGGAGTTCTTTCCCTTTGCTTATTTAACAGTACCTTCCAGGACATGGGTGGTAACGCGGAGACAATAAACATTTCTGATAAAAGCGTTGTTAGGGAGAGGATGATTTTTATCAAATGCTGCACGTTGTCTCCTAAAATGGCATGTGAAAAAGATCTGGTGGAGCAGGTAAACATTTACTCCTGCAGCAAACTAAACCCCTTCCAGAACGGCCCGCGTACAACAGCTTCTAACACTCTTCATACTTTAATAGATTTGATTTTCCACATGGCTTCGTTTTGTCTGGGTGGCTAACTGACACAATTTATACCTCCCTTCCTTCCCCGGGTCACTACAGTACACCATTCAGCAAAGCATGCCTCAAAGCTTGTCTGCATTATATGACCAAACTTCCATTCATTAGTGTTTGAAACACTTCAGCTGTGAAGGGGCTCCTAAATGCTACCATGTGTGACGCCTTGGCGTAAAAGCAGCGAACGGGAGGGGAAAAGCCCACGGTAACAGGCACTCACGGGCACGGTGGACACACACACACACACACACACACACACACACACACACACACACACACACACACACACACACACACACACACACACACACACACACACACACACTCTTCCAGCCCACAGGAAAGGTGGTCCCACTCACTCACTCACTCACTCACTCACTCACTCACTCTCTTCCCCCGTTCTATCCTGGGCTTTAAACACAGGCCACTGTGCCTGCAAACCCTTTGCAAAAGGTTTCCAACATTCTCTTTCCTCCAAAGTCTGAGAGAGCTGTAAATCCTGGGAATAAACACACATACAAATGAATGGATTACAGCTTAAAAAATATAACCAGAGCAGCATCAAGTCATGAGATTTCACACCGGTTTTGTTTAGTCTGCTTTGGGTTTTTGTGGGAAATGTGGAACGTATGAATCTAACTCCCCTCTACCCCGTCCGCCCCCTCCCCTAGCTGGAGCCTCACATACTTAAGCAGCAGGTCTATACCTCTTAACTAGGCAACAGGTCATGACCTTGAGATTCTCTGTGGAGTCCTGGTCACAAAGGGGGATGTGGCATGATCAAAGCTATGGCCAGGAGAAAGAAGAGCGGAGCCAGGGATCAACCGCCCTATGACATTGTCTTGTAGCTTAATATTTAAATTTCAGAATGTCATTAAGCTCTTCGGTGGATACATTCTTCATCCATTCCCCACCAGTGACTCCCTTCTCATTATGAAATGAGGTGTGGACTGGCAGCGTAGCTACTCTGAAACACAGCACAGTGGAAAAGTCGGCAGGTATGTTTTATTCTTTTTTCTCATGGTCAACAAATTAACAGATCTCAGCCAAGCTGAGAAACCGCCTGGATCTCGTTGTGATTCTCCTATATCATCTGGTAACCAAGGTATTTCCAAATCCGGAAGGAAATAGAATTCTCAGGCCATGAACTTACAAAGACCTTATGTTAGATGGAATGTGATCAGCTTTTCAAAACATTCTCACAAATGCTGCTTGATCCGAGCCTCTGAAACTCCTAATACCCAAACTGCTTAGACACAACTCAGCTGAAAATGATGCTGCCTTGTTTGGTTTTCTTAGTTAACAGTAAAGAAGCGTGCGCACACACACACACACACACACACACACACACACACACACACACACACACACACACAGCTGCTTGATTTATTTATTTTTTGCTGACCTTGAAATTCTTCCACTGTAACTATCAGGTACTACTGGGAATATAACTAGGTTGTCAGAAGTGAGATTCTCACCCCGTTAAACTTTCGGTGGCAGTACAGCTCTCCCGCTCTCAGACCGAGGGTTCTCTCAAACATGAAGTTCGGACAGCTCTCCTTGGCATAACCCCACTGGCTATCCTGCAAAGGTACGGCTGCCAAGTGGATGACGCTGGCTGGTTGGGTGGCACTTCCCATCTCTACAAGACCTCAGGTCTCACCTCTCCAGCCACTTGGCCTTCTGCTACATGTGTGGCTGCTATGCCACAAATGTGTGTGCAATTAAGAGAAGAAAAAATCCTCCCTGTCAGGAAGACAAAGTCAGAAAACCCATGGCGAGATACCCTGGGCCATGGTGTGTCTCAATCTGGATTTAGAATTCACACAGGGGCTCTTCTGTGGTGCAAAGACATAGATAATGGGGGAATAAAGAGCTGGCTCTTGTGTCGCCCCGCAAGGAGAAGTAGCTGGGAAAGACCCCTGGGCCTCAGCCCTCTTCAGTGGCTTAGAAGACACAGACATGAATTGCAGATAATAGCTCACATCAAAAGATGATTTTTTAAAAGCTGCATAGACTTTGCCACATAGGAAAGGATCTTTGAGCTTGCCGAGCTCCTGACCGGCCGTCTTAAAGTTGTTGAAACATTCTAGCCCAGAGATTCACACTTCTCCTTAGGGGCAGGTGGATGGCATAGGGAGGAAGGTGGCACAGCGCCTTTCTGCTCGAGAAGGCTTACCTGTTGGAGTGGGCTTCAGGGATGCTATGATAACAGAACTTTTCAGAGTGGAAGTGCACAGTGACACTTTTATGAGCACTAATCACTAAAACCTCTAAATACTGAACAGCTCCCAGCCATTCATGCAGCTACTTTACAAAGACAACAGGGCTGCACCACACCAGGGTGAAGTGAGAGGATTTTTTTTTTTGGGGGGGGGGGTGATGGCAGGAGGCAGAAAACTAATGGGAGAGGGAAAGGGGCTGGGTAAAGCTGAAGAAATGTACATATAAAACTATTGGAAACTTATATTCATTTTACTTCAGTTTTTCTTTTGTTCATGACCAAAAAATGTATTAAAGTCTTTCATTCCTTTAAGCCAGTTTAAAAAAAAAAAACCAACACTAAAATCCAGACATGTACTTCGCATTTGGCTCAGAATGATGTATATGATATTAGGTACACTTCGACTTAGAGTTTAGAAGGAGGAAGAAGACAGCCTAATGTCTAACCTTAACTCTTGATGCTTGATGGAATTTTCAAATGTCTTGAGTTTAATCATAGGTCATACCACATAGGCACATGTGAGGGTGTGGGCTGGCAGGAAGTTCCAAATGCAAGGCTGCAAGCTGGGGCTCTGGGTTTAATTTTCAGATGCAGACTAAACAGCAGGTTTGCAGTGGGAGAGAGGCTGGTGAGTTCTACATGGAATCAGCAAATGAAAATGCTCTCTCTGTAAGCACACTGGTGGTCGCACCACTGTGACACCCCTCTTAGTGTGTAGGGTGGTGTGCAAAATCACAGAAGCCCAGGTGGCTTTAGGAAAGGCTTTTGTTTCCCTCTTGACTGCAAAGACTTCTGCAATCCTTTATGCTATCATACTGCAAACTAGAAATAGGTACATTGTAATTTAAGCTGTCTTGCTAACGAAATTACTAATGATGGGTAATCTGGGAAGGATAATTTCAGCTGAATAATATTAAATCCAACTCCTTAAAGACTCATGATGACATATTCATGAAGATCCTGAGTTGCTCCTGTCAGGGCTGAAATAAAGGGCTTTCTTCCTCTTCCGCAGCAATGACCAGGAACCCATTTTTCAAGTTCCATCTGCAGCTAAGCGACCCACAAGACCACAAAACCAAGTTTTTCGATTTCTCTGTCAGAGATTTTAATTTAAAATGGACAGGGGCTCTTTAGCTTCGTGGGAAGTCATTATTTCCTCCATCTAGGAAAACTCTGTAGCAGATTATAGAAAACCTTTTAAATGGAACATATGTAAACCACATAATCTGGCAAGTGCAAGGGATTTTTAGTGTAAATGCAAGGAGGAAAATGTGTTTTTCAAAAGAAGTCTTGAGAGCTTAGGATTACATTTGTACCTGATCTTTATCTATCTATCTATCTATCTATCTATACACTGATATGTATGTATGTATATGTATGTGCATATCTATGTGTGTGTGTGTAAAGATAGATATATATTACAAGCATCAGGCTTACTGTGCATCCAGTATCATCAATTCATACATTGGTGTATGTTTAATATAAAGGAAGTTGATGTGGGAT